TTTGTGTTCAACGGTCAGCCTAGTGAGTCTAATGTGCTTTCATTTTTTTCAGACAGTGCCCCCGATAAATTTGGCATCCATCAATTCTGAAATGTCCCGCATTTTGTTTTCAGGGAGTCCAGTTTCCTGATGTAATGGTGTGTGGAAATAACTTTGGGAGACCAAGTAAAGAGATGCTGCCTAGGCAATGGTCAGATAAGAGGGAGCATAGCCCATAGCTGCATAATGGGCAGAGGGAGAGATGCAGAAGGCACCCTCCCTAAGTTATCAGTCTGTAAAGGAGACAGCAAAATTATTGTACTTGCAGACTTGCAAAGTTCTGTTACTGTAGCTTCACATGAAAATGGAATTAGCTTAGACAGCAATAGCAGTAGCAATAGCACTTAGACTTATATAGCACTTAGACTTAGACCTCGAGTTATTTGTAAAAATCATAAAGGCAGGATAGTACTAGCAATAGCCCTTAGACTTATACACCACTTCACAGTGTTTTTCAGCTCTCTCTAAGTGGTTTACAGAGTGAGCATATTGCCCCCAACAATTTGGGTCCTCGTTTTACCGACCTCGGAAGGATGGAAGGCTGAGTCAACCTTGAGCTGGTGAGAATCGAACTACCAAACTGCTGGCAGTTGACAGTCAGTAGAAATAGCCTGCAGTACTGCATTCTAACCACTGTGCCACCACAGCTCTTGATATGGACATGTTTCCTCCTGCAGTCACATATATTACCCAATTAATCAAGTTAGGTCTCTCCTGGGCATCCATTCCTTAGTAGGATTTTTTTTTTGTCTAATCTCCCAAGAGCATTCCCACATACCATTACATTTGACCAAGGCCTCTGTGATACTAATTTCATTGCATCTCCATCTTATATGCAGTCTTGCAGCTTTTGAAAGTGGTGCAATCGGTGCCCCAGGCTTATAGTCATTTCCCCCTTATCCCCTCCTTTAAGCAAAATAGACATCATTTGTGGAAAACTGAACCATGGTGGCGCAGCTGTTAGAATGCAGAATTGCAGGCTAACTCTGCCCACTGCCAGGAGTTTGATCCTGACTGGCTCAGGATAGACTCAGCCTTCCATCCTTCCGAGGTTGGTAAAATGAGGACCTAGTCAAAGAGGGCTGTAAAAGCACTGTGAAGTGGTATATAAGTCTAAGTGCTATTGCTATTTGGTGTTTGCCTGTGTGTGTGTGTGTTTAATGAGTACAATGTCTCTGCAAGCTTAAAGCAACTTTTCATTCCTCATGTCAGTCTCTCAAGTTTGTGCAGTTCAGGAAACAGACTTCTCAAGGAAACGAGAACTAGATTTCATCAGAATTGTCTATAATAACAGAAGCTTGAAAACCTGGTTGTGCTTTTCCCTCCCTCCCTCTCATATCCCAGGGAATCAGGGAAGAGCTAGTACTGTTATTTTCCTTTCTCCTTCAGCTCAGGGCCTGGTTCTGCACATTTTGCCTTCATTTTTTGACCTGGTTTCTGAATAGCTTGTCCAAGGTCATCTTCTCAGTTCCCTAGACCAAGTCCATGCCATTCTAAATTTGGCTTATTCCCAGTGTGATGTCAGTTGGATGCCATAAATGGTCTTCTGTGGAATATCCATCCCTGCTTTAGAATGCTGTATAGATAAATTCCTTGTCTCTGCCTATGGCTATTCTTGTTTATTACAAAGGGGCAGGAATGATGGAGTGGACATAACTGTATCTGCATTTGGATCCAATAACCTCTTTCGTGATTGCCATCTAACAAGCTCACCTTGCCTCACAGTTCAGAAAAATAAATAAAATATCAGTTGGCTGGATAGTTTTCTTTGTTTCTTGCCACTAAAGTGCAAAAAAAGAAGGATGCTTGAACATATAACACATAATGCGAATTCCAGTGTGAATTGTCCTGATCTGTTTTTCATGGATCAATGTGCAGAAAGAAACTTAGTTTTCCATTGGGCTTTTCACACATGGCTATTTTGATGCCACTCTTGGTTGAAACAGAGCAGCGAAATGTGTTTTAAAAGTGTATATTTTAAAAGGAAAATGCTTTCCAGAATTCCATCAGAGTGGGATTTTTTCCCCCCATGATGGAAATTAATACTGAAATAGAATAGACTGCAGATAATTCAGTCCAGGGATAAACGATAGGATTTTTCCTATCACCATTTTAAAATGAAGACAATGATGGCCCCAGTTGAACTGGTTTTGAAAGGGGACCAGACAAATTCATGGCGGATAGGATCTCAGAACTGATGGCTGTTTATTGTCTTATGAATTACAGGAAGTCCTCGACTTATTACCTTGACCACAATTAGCTCAAAATGTCTGTTGCTATAAGTGAGATATTTGTTAAGGGAGTTTTACCTCATTTTACGATCTTTTGTGCCACTGTTGTGGAGCAAATCCCTGCAATGTTTAAGTTAGTAACATGGTTGTCAAGTGAACCTGGCTTCCCCACTGACTTTGTCAGAAGGTCACAAAAGGGGAACAAAGGACATTGTCGCCGCCATAAATGTGAGTCAGTTGCCAAGCATCTGAATTTTGATCACTTGACCATGAGGATGTTCCAATGGTCATAAGTATAAAATAATGGCCATAAGTTATGTATGTATGTATGTATGTATGTATGTATGCATGCATGCATGCATGCATGATTTATATTTTATTTATCAAACAAATGTAGAAAGTTAGCACCTACCTCCCAGAAGAATGAAATATTTTGGGAAATATTAAAAAGGCAGAATATTATAAGGAGAAATGAAGAAATATTTTCTTTTTAGAAGCAGGAAGCAGACTCAGTTTTTCTTAATAGCCCCTCGCAGATATTTTGTGGCCGTTAAGAAAAATTGGGCCAGGATATTCAGAAACCAGCCCCAGTTTCCCTTCTCCAAGCAGAAACTGAGGAGACCAGCTTTTAGAAATGCAGATTTGGTAATCCATTCTGAAAGACTGGGTCAAGACAGAAAACTCAGATAAGCAACAAACAAAAGGTTGACAAAATTAGCCCAGACGAACACCTAGGATTTGCTTTTTTTGCTCTTTTGCCCATAGAGCCAGCTTTGACCCCCCAAATAACCTCTACATGACCCCATAGGAATCTGACAACAGCCAATAGAATACATGTTCTTGCACAGGAACAGGATGCTCAAATACAAAGCCCAAAGAAGGTACAAAAACCACCCACTGTCAATTCCCTTTTGTCAGCTGCACCAGAACCCTGGTGGTTCTGCTTTAATCAATAAAGGGAACCTTTCTTTTCAATCAGCCTCCAGCCTCCATTTTGTCTCCAGTGCCTTTTTCCCAGCTTGGAATTGAACCAGATGGATATTTCATCCCACACAAAAATTACAAATTTGAACAAAGAAACTAAGAAAATCAAAATGTAACAGGGATGATAGGCAGGTCAGTGGCCTTATACAAGCCCCTTTAAAGGTAAAGGTTCTCCTCGCACATACGTGTTAGTCATTTCTAGCTCTAGGGGGCAGTGCTCATCTCTGTTTCAAAGCCGAAGAGCCAGAGCTGTCATATGGCCAGCATGGCTAAATGCCGAAGGTGCACGGAACGCTTTTATCTTCCCACCAAAGTGGTCCCTATTTTTCTACTTGCATTTTTACATGCTTTAGAACTGCTGGGTTGGCAGGAGCTGGGAGAAGTAACGGGAGCTCACTCCATTAAACAGCGCTAGGGATTCGAACCGTTGAACTGCTGACCTTTCTGATCGAGAAGCTCAGTGTCTTAGCCACTAAACCACCGCGTCCTTTAGAGACCATTTATTTAATTATCTTATTGGGAACTCACGGCCTTGAGAGGTTTTTTTGGGAACACAGGTATTCCTTGACTTAGGACCACAATTGAGCCCAAAATTTCTGTTTCTAAGCAAGGCAGTTGTTAAGTGTGCTTTGCCCCATTTTACGACCTTTCTTGCCACAGTTGTTAAGTGAATCACTGCAGTTGATCAGTTAGGAACATGGCTGTTAAGTGAATCTGGCTTCCCCATTGACTTTGCTTGTCAGAAGGTTACAAAAGGGAATCATGTGACCTGGGGACCACATGACCCGGCAACCGTCATAAATATGAGTCAGTTGACAAGTATCTGAATTATGGTGACATGATCATGGGGATGCTGCAGCAGTAGTAAGTGTGAAAAATGCTAATCACTTTTTTCAGTCCTACTGTAACTTCCAATGGGCGCCGAATGAATTGCTATAAATCAAGAACTACTTGTGTTTCAATTCAGTCTCCTCCTCCTCCCCTCCCCCTTCTCTTCTCCTCCTGCTCCCGTTCCTGCTCCCTCCTTCCCACTTCTCTCCTCCTGCTCCTCCTTCTCCTCTCCTCCTCCTCTCCTCCCCCTCCTCTCCCCCTCCTCCTCCTCCTGCTTCTGCTGCTCTTCCTCCTCCCCCTCCCCTTCTCCTCTCCTCCTCTCCTCCTCCTGCTCCTCCTCCTGCTTCTGCTGCTCCTCCCCTCCCCTGTTCCTCCTGCTTCTGTTCCTGCTCTCCCCCTCCCCCTGCTCTTCTCCTCTCCTCCCCTCCTCCTTTCCTCCTGCTCCTCCTCCTGCTCCTCCTGCTCCTCTACTCCTGCTCCTTCTGCTTCTTCTGCTCCTCCTCCTGCCACTTCTTCTTCCCCTTCTCATCTCCTGCTCCTCCTCCTGCTGCTTCCGCTGCTCCTCCCTTCCTCCCCTGCTCCTCCTGTTCCCACTCCTGCTCTCCTCCTCCCCTCCCCTTCTCCTCTCCTCCTGCTCTTCTTCCTGCTCCTCCTCCTGTTCCTCCTCTCCTCCTCCTGCTCCTTCTCCTGCTTCTGCTCCTCCTCCTTTCCTCCTCCTCCTGTTCCTCCTCTCCTCCTCCTGCTTCTTCTCCTGCTCCTGCTCCTCCTCCTTCCCTCCTCCTCCTGCTCCTGCTCTCCTCCTCCTCCTCCTCCTTTTCAGGTGAGGCAGGTATAGTTACCATGGGTCATACTTCTTTGTTTTTGTAATTTTTCTAACTTTTCAGCTAATCTTCCTTCCTCTCTCTGTCTCTCTAGGTGTAAAGAGCTTAAATATGCAAAGGATCTCCCACAGATCTCTATTATTTTTATCTTTGTCAATGAGGCGCTTTCAGTCATCCTGCGTTCAGTTCACAGCGCTGTAAATCACACTCCAGCTCACCTCTTGAAGGAGATCATCCTTGTAGATGACAACAGTGACGAAGGTATGGAGCTCAATTTTTAAGGCAGGGGAAGACCAAGCAGGCAGGAGACTTATGAACTATTCAATATTTATTTATTTGAACAATATCTTTAGCTTGCTGGGGTACTACAATCAAACTTTCTGTGCTAAATACCCACAGTCATCTAATACCAAAAGCATGGTGGGTTTGCACTAAGTTTACTTGCTCATGGAATGTAAGGAGGATTGTGAGCACTTACAATTGTGAGGAATGTAAGGAGGATTGTGAGCACTTATCTCTCTGCAGGAAATGTGTTTCATGATGTGAGTGAGCCACCGCAGAGAAAGTAATAACAACAGATAACAGAATATCAAAGTTGGAAGAGACCTTGGAGGTCTCCTAGTTGAACCCGTTGCTCAAGCAGCAGACCTTGTACCATTCCAGACAAGTGGCTGTCCAGTCTCTTCTTGTAAGTCTCCAGTGATGGAGCACCCACAACTTCTGAAGGGAAGCCATTCCACTGGTTAACTGTTCTCACAATTAAGAAATTTCTCCTACTCATGTAAAGAGAACATCTATAAGATGTTTTATAGATGGCACCTGCCTCCTGCGAGATTGGCAAAGATATATCCCAACATGAATCCGGCATGTTGGAAATGCAAGAAGAAAGAACGTACTTTCCATCCTATGTGGTGGTCTTGTTTAGAAGCCCAGAAGTACTGGTTTAAAATTCAAAAGTGGTTACAAGAGATCCTCAAGGAACATATAGATTTGGAACCAGAATCATTTTTGTTAGGGATGATTAAAAAGAGATATGGGAAAGATACAAAATATATAATATCATATATCTTAACCGCTGCTAGAATTGCCTATGCTCAATGCTGAAAACAGAATTCTATACCAACAGATCAATTGATTATTCAAAAAATAATGGCGTGTTCCGAGATGGATAAATTAACCCTGATGTTACAAGAGAAAGAGGAGTCTGAATATTACAGAATTTGGGGGAAATTGTACAATTGGATCGAATTAGGACAAAGGAATGATGAAAAGAGTTAACGATAAGCATTTTATAGATTAAAGGTTTATATTTGCATGAACTGTATATATTTGTAAATAAGCACAAAATAGAAGTATATGACATAGATGTCACACACTGTTAATGTCATAATATTTATATTTTTGGTTTGGTTTTTAGAGATATAAAAGACTAATAAAGTTTATTAAAAAAAAGAAAATTCTCCTTAGTTCTGGGTTGCTACTCTCTTTGATTAATTTTCATCCATTGCTTCTTGTCTTGCCTTTAGGCACTTTAGAAAATAGGGTTGACCCCTCTTTTGGGAGGCCTTAAATATTGAAACACTGCTAGTCCTTCTTTTCACTAGGCTAGCCATGCCCGGATCCTGTAACCGTACTTCATATGTTTTAGCCTCCAGCCCACTAATCATCCTGGTTGCTCTTTTCTGCACTCTTATCTAGAGTCTCAACATCTTTTTTATAATGTGGCGACCAAAACTGGATGCAGTATTCCAAGTGTGGTCTTATTAACGTTTTATAAAATGGTACTACTGCTTCATATGAACTCTATTCTGTCTCTAGTCTAATTCTATGTTCTCCTCAAGGGGAACAATTCTCAATAGATCTTCTCTAGATGAGGGAGCACACAACATTTCTTGCTTTTGCTGTTCTTGTTCCATTTGTTGGAGAAATTGGTCCCACCACCTTCAATAGAAAAATGGTAAAATTATCATTACTTAAATTATAATTATAGTATTCTGAGTCTTTGCTTTGAACACTTTAAATTGGTTCTATTGAAAACCTCAATTCAGTGCAGGCATTGAGTCTTTGAGAAAATTTCTTGGCAACTAATTTTGCTCAATGCCTTGAATCGATTAAGGCATTTCAGATGACGATTCCAGTGGAAAGGACAATTAAATTACCTTCAGATTAAACCTTTGGATGAAAGCTTTGCATCAGCCTAAGCTGGTTTTTATTTTTTGCCAGGAAGCAGAAGGAATCAGATATAACATATAACGTAGAATAATAGAGTTGGAAGGGACCTTGGAGGTCCTCCAGTCCTACCCCCTGCTCAAGCAGGACACCTTGTACAATTTCAGAAGAATGGTTGTCCAGTCTGTTTTTGAAACCTCCAGTGAGGGGGCATCCACAACTTCTGAAGGGAAGCTATTCCATTGGTTGACTGCTCTCACCATTAGGAATTTTCTCCTAAATTCTAGGTTGCTTCTCTCCTTTTGGTGGTTTGGAAAATAATTTGACCCCCTCATCTTTGTAAGAGCCCCCAAATATTAGAACACTGCTATCATGTCTCCCCTCATCCTTCTTTTCATTAGACTAGACATATCTAATTCCTGTAACCTCCAGCCCCTTAATCATCCTTGTTGCTCTTCTCTACACTCTTTTCTGAGTCTCGACATCTTTTTTATATTGTAGTGATGAAACCTGGATGCAGTATATTCCAAGTATGGTCCAAGTGAAGGCTTGGAATAGATAGGGGTCTATGTTTCACTTGGTTTTAGTTTTCTCATTCCTGTTATATTCTTCTGTATGTATTTATTAAATTTTTATGCCACCCATCTCCCCTCTAAGGCAATTCTTTGCAGTTTCTTGCTACTCTAGAAGAAAGTTTTCAACTACTTGACTTTAATGCTTGGAAAAGCTTGAATGAAAAAAACGGTCAACTGGAATAAGATAACAGTCAAAGTTACTTCCTATCTGATAGGTAGCTGCTATATTTCTTGTGCTTTGGTTTCTGCAACTGTAGATATTCTCCTTGTATCTTGAGGAAGGATAATAATTATGTTTTAGAAGCCACTGGAGTCTGCAGCCCGATGGTGTGCTGGAGTCAGCTGGTGTGAGCTGATTGTTAAATTTTTGGAAACTTTTGAGCAGCCAAAAGCAGAGTTGAGCAAAGCACATGATCAGTTGTTTGACAGCTAACACTGCAGCAGCACAGAGGGGGCAAAGCTGTTAAATATTTATTAACACACCACTGCTTCAGCCTCTCCTACATGCCTGCTCTGTCAAACATTGTAGGGATTGTCTTATATTAATAGGAAACCAGCAACAGCTTAATGAGAATGAAAGGTTGAGCAGTGGTCTGGTTAAGATGATACCTGATGACTTCATGGAAACACATGGCTCATTTTATTGGAAGCCATTGAAGAGATTTGTCATTGCCTTCTCAGGCAATGACACCCCCTATCTCCTGCTTTCAACACAGTCCTTTCAGCAGTTCCAAGAAGGCTCCACACCCATTTGCACTATTCAGGTGACCCCAAGGGCAGAGATAAACCTCCAAGTGGCCTCAATGTCTCTCAGAGAGACTGCTAATGACCAGATGACTGCAAGGAATATCAATCCTTCTATCCTCAACTATTCAGTCAGAACTGAAGAAGCTTCTTGGTTGAGAAGCAAAACATCTTCAAGGAAAGTCCAGTTGCCTTTTGAAAAAGCAGCATCGGTACAACCATGACCTGGCTGACTGAGAATCTCCATAAGTCACTGTCTTCTTAGAGTTTTTCTTCTCAAACCTTCCAGTCTAGTTTACCGCCCTGAGATTTGCTGTTAGCCTTCCATCCTAACAGAAGTCAGGTTTGATCTTGCTTGGCATTTTTAAGTTCTGCCAAGTATTAAACCTCAAACTCTTCAATGTATCTCAAAAGTACAGAATTAAATCTTCTAAAGCAGTGGTCACCAACCAGTGGGCTGGGGACCACTGGTGGTCCACGAGAAAATTTTGGTGGAGAAATGTCACCCCCAAGGCAATTAATCCAGGCTGTGCGGGAACACAAGGCTCCACATGGCCCACGGGAACACAAGGCTTGTGTCACTTGCATTGTGAACAACATGAGATAGTGAGGGGAGGGGGGAAAAGATGGAGGGGGGGAACTTGCCCCACTTGCCTCGCCTGGCCACTGGGCTGCTTCTTTCCTCTTCTTTCTTCTTCTGCTTTTGGCTGCACGCAAGGAAAGCAGCAAAAGTATTTCTTTCTCTCCCCCAAACTCCACCAGAAATTAGTCTTTGGGACCCTGCAAGGCCTCCTACTCCAAGAGGCTGCACTGGTGTGACAAGTCTCACAAAGACTCATTTCTGGCAGAGTTTGGGGCAGAGAAAGAAAAACTTCTGCTGCTTCTGCTGCTTTCCTTGCATGAAGCCAAAAGTCTCTCTCTCTCTCCCCCCCACCGAGAATGGAGCTGGAGACAGTATCCTGCGATCCCAAATAAAGAATGATCAATCAGTAGGAAAACGGGGTGGGGAATTTTCCTGCAGAACTTTTTGGGATTTTCCCAGGGTCTCTGGTCCTCAGGATTTAAAATTATGAGTTTGGTGGTCCCTGAGGTCCAAAAGGTTGGCGACCCCTGTTCTAAAGTGTAAAAATACATGTATTCAGCCAATTTGATTTAGAAGGCTTGGGCTTTGCTTTCTGTTTCAGAATGCAGTATGCATATTCCTGGGTACGATGTAAACAAGACTTGCCCCAAACAGAACTCAATGTGTACTCTGAAGAAGAGACATACATACAGAGCAGAAGCAGTAGCTATTCAGTCTTTATACCTGACATTTTCTCAGTCTGACCTCAAAGCATCTACCAGCTGTTGGCTCTACTTTTTCTTTCAGCTACAGTCTGTTTTGCTGCAAGCACGTGACTCTTGCAAGCATATTTACTAACCAAAGGTGGCGGGGTAGGGGGAGGTAGGAAAGGGAAAGAGGAAGGAGGACATGGCATGTGTTATGAATTGATACAATGAGAGTTTGAGTGAGCCCAAAGTATTTATGCAAAGAGAAAAGGCCAAGAATGTTTCTCAAGGGATGAGTTGGATCAAGGGGATATTTTCCTCATTTATTGTTTAAACCAGGTCAGTGCTAATCTCAAAATCGCTGTTTCCAATCCAGTATTCCAGGGGTGGACATCTTTGTGAAAGTTCATGCTGCCCATAATAGTTTGGAAGAAGAACAGAATTGACCTATGCAAGGTGACTACGCTAAACAGACAAGACTCTGTTTCAGACAGCGTTGGGCTT